TTGAAATTATCTACAAAAGAACTCAACACATTCATAGGAATATTATTATTATTATCTTACATTTTTCGAAAGAATCAAAGAGAGTATTGGGAAACCGACCCTCTCGAAAACTGCTCTGCTGTTTCATCAGCGATGACGCGCGATCGGTTTAGTGAAATAAAATCTAAAATAAAATATTCAAAACCTACTGACAAAAATGATAATGATAAAGCTTGGAAAGTCCGTCATATTTTGGAATTGTTTAGGACCAATATTAAATAATTTGGATATTTTTCAACTGCTCTTTCCATTGACGAAATGATGGTTAGATTTTTTGGTCGCACGTGTCTGAGGCAATATTTGCCTTCGAAACCTGACCGATACGGGATCAAACTCTGGGCCTTGTGCGGAGCAAATGGATATATATTCAACGTTGATATTTATTGTGGTAAGAACGATACAAGCATTGGGATAAATTTATCCGCATGTCCACTTGGCTCCAGAGTTGTATTACAAATGGTTAATCCACTTCTACATAGCTTTTCAAAAAGAAAATTGTCTGACTATCATGTCTATTTTGATAACTATTTCACTAGTCCTGATTTAGTCGTTCACTTGAACAAATGTGGCTTACGATCTACAGGAACTGTTCGTAAAGATAGAGTGAAACAAAAACATGATTTTGAAAAAAAAGCACCACGAGGAACGAACAAAGCGAGTTATGATCGTAACAGTGGAATGAATCTCATCAGTGTAATTGACTCAAAAGAAGTTTCTATTCTTTCTACGGCAGTTGGCGTCACTCCCTTGGAGCCAATGGAAAGATATTCGAGAACTGCTAAGAAAAGATCAAAATTGGAATTCCCTTGTGCTTTTTCTTCGTATAACAAGTACATGGGAGGAGTGGATTTGCACGATTTTCGATGCAAGAAAGCTTCTACAAGTGTCAGTTCAAAGAAGTGGCCATTCAAAATTTTCTCACGAATTATTGAAATGTCAATAACGAACGCTGTAACAATAAGCAATCTTTGCAGAAAGGATAGAAAAATAATGAAAACGCAAGAAATGTGTAAAGAAGTGAGTGGAAAGTATTTAGCGCAATCGAAAATATGTGATCTCAAATCTCACAGGCACGATACTAGAACAAGAAACAAATGTAATAGCGAAGGATGTTGTGTAAGGACTACCAGATACTGCATTGATTGCAAAGAATATTACTGTATCGAATGTTTTTCAAAATTACACGCAGGAAAGGTAGCGAAATGAATTATCGATTCCAGAAAAATTCATCAATAAAAAAAAATAAAAAATAAAAAAAAAAATAACTAAAATATGAAAAAAAAAAAAAAAAAAAAAAACTATCTATATTCGTCGACCTTCTCGTTGGTGATAGTTAGGCAACGCAAACTCTGTTTGCGGCGGACAGGCGATCAAAGAGTGGATGTTAATGACTTACGTATTGGGCAATTACTTTGACACTTGTGAATTTTTTTCTTAAAAGCAATGAACTCATATGAAAATTTACCAGGAATAAAAAGTTTTCAAAACTGAGCAAAGAATGCACTCGAATTTTTTCAAAAAATTACGGTCAATTTTGAAAATGTTCAAAATTTGACAATTTGCAAAATTCAAAAAATTGCTCCAAACTTTTTGAAAAAATTCTGATGTATTATACGATTGATTTTAAGAACTTTTTCTTCTTTTTGACTTTTTCGAAAAGTCCATACTTTTCAAGGAAAAAATTCATGAATGTCTGAACGAAAATTCCGTCATTGAAGCGCCATTTTGATGATACTGAGATAAAAAAACGATCTCGGAAATATATATTATGAAAGCTTAGACAATTATGCCACCAGTTATTGAGGTTCCAAGTGGATTGCAAACCGAGATCCATTCTGAAAACTTGATTTTATAAAAAAAAATTATGAAAAAATCGTGTTTTTTTTTATTTAAACAATATTTTCACATAGTTAACATTTTTTTTATCGCATTTTTCGGCACACCGTTGGAAAGGGGAGATCTTAAGCTTTGAAATAGTGTATCTTTTAATTTTTTATACGTGGAATTGCACGAATTATGATAGTCGAAAGAGCGGTGTACCAGGAGGGGCGTTCTCGGCCTTAACGGGTTAATTAAGCGTTGTCTATACCTACCACTGACAAGTTCATATGTACATTTTTTCTTTCTATCTTATAGCATGATTGAATTAAGAAAAACTCCTACTTGTCAGTAACAATATCATTAGCTTCCTTTGCAAAATTAATCCCGTTTTGTAAAGCCTCACTACAAGATTCTTTTGCAAGTTCTTCAATTTTAGGGCTAACGATTCTTTCATAACGTTTAAGTAGAGTGTCTGATACTGTATTCACATTCATAGCAGACAGTAATAAATTCAACTGAGTTTCTCCAATTCCAGAATTTATTATACCTATTAAAAGTACGTAACATTAATAATTATATAAAAGTTTTACGAAAAACTGTATCTCATAAAAATATTAATAGAATTTACCAACAACTGCTTTGGCATTGACTACAAATAAATAACTTTTCCCGTATCGATAAACTTTACCTGTTTTGATAGATTTGATTTTATGACATTTGTAACATTCAATGTCATAAATGAATGCTAGACCTCTTTGTACTTTGTTTTTCGCAAAACGAAAAGAGAGTGGAATATCACAGTTGACGCACCACTTTGCTTGGGCTAATACACTGGGTTCGTACACTTCTCTTCCATCTAATACATCGGCTTTAGCTGCACCTTTGTTAACGGTTTCCTGCAAACCATTTAAAAAAAAATAATCAGCCTCGGCTAAAATAATATGTAAATACAAAAAACTTTCTTGTACCTTGCCATGTATACAAACACAAATTTTAAGCACACATACCTTACATAATCGCTTTTCGTCATAGCTTCTTTCTAGGCTATTTTTTTCTTTTACTTGTCTCTGTTTTTTCTTTATTTGACTAGCTATGGGCAGTTCTCTCCCTTCTACTAAATTAGCTTCATCTGCTTGCTCAACGGTGCTTTCCTATAGACCGTAGTATAAAAATAAACACTCTTAGTTTATGGAATGTATGTAAATACATTTATAAAAAACTTTTTTGTTTCATGCATGTGTGCAAATGCAAAATTTGTGCGCGCATACCTTACATAACCTCTTTTGGTCTTCGCTTCTTTCCACGCTGTTTTTGCATTTACTTGGCGTAGAGCTTTTCTTGAATTGGCTTTTTCGCGGTCCAACAGTTATCCGTAACATATTCCTCCATATAGTTTCTTCTAAATAGGAAATTGGCTCGATCATTTTTAATTGATACACATGACAAAAAAAAACAAGCCGCTGATCGAGAGCATGGCTGCTAGCTATAGCTACACTCGCACAAACACAGGTTATATGTATATTCCGGATGCACGTGTCGCGTCATTCAAAGCTGCTTGCTTATTGATTCGTTGGGGAAAAAGACAAATTGATGACTATTACATGTTATAGTGAATAAAATAACATTCAAATTGTAATAATTTGTGACTATGTCTTTTAAAAATAATTATAAGTTTTTGAAGAATACATATTCACTTCAATATACAAATTTATTTTTGGGTTGTGTGTTGATTTCGACTGTAGTCACTGGTGCCCCTTTAAATCTCGTTTGCCTAAAAGTTTCGTAAACGTGCTACGGTCCGTCACTACTAATCATATGATTCGCCGATCGTAGCTATACTAAGTCTCTGTAGTCGCCTGTAGTTCTTTCTCTTCTATTTCGACATGCGATATACTGGAGTAAACGTTGGACATTCTCTTAGATGCTCGCTAATTCTTTCACATTCCTTTCGCTCCTTAATATGCGCACGCGTCTTGACGAATATCCATTTGTTACAAAAGATATTTTGTGTCATTCAATATTCATCTTGATTAAATCACCTAAATATTGTTCGCTAATTGAAAGAATACTCTAACTGTTAAAAACAATTCGTAGTTAAAGTTTAAAAAATCAACAACATCATATTCCTAATTTATGGAACTGGTAAGGATGCTTTCTATAGTTATACATTTTTATCAGAATTGATCAATTTGAAGGAAATAAAGCGAATTTATATCAAAGTGGTAAGAGAATGTGTGGAAAAGGAAAAAATGAAAGAAAGTGAAAAAGAGTACAAAAGTTTGTAGAGTTAATGTGGAGAATTGAGTAAATTAGATTATTAAATAATTTGTAAAAAATGCAAGTTATATCATTTTACAGATTTGTAATGCTAGAGATTGGCATGCACTAGAGGTGGCTTGCCTAATGCAACGTTGAACGAGATAACCCCAACAGCCATGAGTATTATATGTAATATTAAATAATTAAATTGATTTTAACGATATAATTTGTACATGAAAATCTGGTATGCATTTTAGAAGTCAGAGTTGCCGCTGGAAAAAAGAGAAATGTCGGTTGTTGCACAACTGATTATTTGCATCGGTGACTTGTGGCAGTCGATCGTTGTGAGCTCGGTAATTAGTATCGGTAATTAGTAATGGTAACGTTTCAGTTTTAACAATATTTTTTTATATTTTGATATCTGTGAAACATTTATCAAAGTTTTCAAATTTGATGGTGTCGACATGTTGATCTATATTTTTTTCTACAGTATAAATATCTGATAATATAATTAAACCAACTAGTTAAGTCAGTGTCTAAGTAGATGCAATAGTTAGTGTCACTGTAATAATCTTTTGTAAACTTGACGTTGAAGCGGTAGAATGTGCAAGAAACCAAGTTTACTTGTATTTGTATAGATATACGTAATGTATTTCAAAAATTAGATGGAATCCGATACCAATACAATCTCTTTATATACATTTACAATAATTAGGAAACTTTTATGATGAAAAATTTTAATACATATTCAACTTATCTCTTAAATAACGTTTTAACAGATTTTATTTTAATTTATTGAATTTTTTAGTTATTTATTTACTTATTTTTATTTTTTAGTACAGTATTACAAACTAGTAATGGAAAATATTTTTTACTTTTAGATACTACGAGACCAAAGAGAGATGATGAAATCGAAGGGTGTGATTATCACTTTGTTTCGTCTAGGAGTCAAATGGAAATTGATATTCAGAACCATTTATTCATAGAAGCTGGACAGTACAATGAAAATTTATACGGAACATCGATATCATCAGTGAATGAAGTAGCAAAAACGGTAAGAATTAAGAATTATTTACATTTGATGGAACAATATAACCCTCTGTTTTCTATTGTACAACTTGCCAATGCGATAATGCTAATAACAATAATAAAGATTCGAAAACTAGATAATTGTTAAATACTTAATGACTAAAATTACATAATATTGCAGTTAAACGATTTATAATATCAATACCACAATAAATTAAAGTTCAAATCACTAAACTGTGACTGTTTAGTATGAATATTTCTTTATTTTATTGCTGAAACAACAATAACTCGGTAATGTCTTCGAAAATTGGAAAAAGCGGTTTCTAGATTAGGTCACTACATCATTGATAGTCTCCCTTGTGAGCGAATGACTTTAAAAATTTGTAGCCATAAATAGAATATGAAGTGATTAAGCTTAGAGCTAGATAGACTAGTTTCATCGTTAAATTACATAACTATAACAAATTCAATTCTAAGTAAACGAAAGTACTATTTAACTTAATTTTGATACGTAAATAATCAATAAAAACTTATTATGCATATCAATAACATGATTCATATGAAGAACGCTTAAACGAAAATCAATTTACGCAGCCGATTTTGAAAAATTGGGTTCGAATAGAAAAATCTAGTAGTAATATCCAATCTAACCTTCAAATCGTATCTTCGCATCTATACTGCTTATATATACATACAGTCTACCTCACTGTAATACATATAACTACGTGTGTTATTAAGGTTGAAAAACATCACCTGTTACCAGAATCGTTAGTAATCGTGCGTATCAGTTGGTTCAGTGAATCGACACACATGTCGACATTATTGTATGTGCCTGTGTGTATGCAACAGGGGGGAGAGCTCCCGATAGCAATATTTGCCTTCTAATCTTGCAATGAGTAAATTGGTTTCGCTAATATGACGACGGGATAGGCTTTCAATGAATAAATTCTAGGAGCTACCGCACAATGAACGATAGTGTTGAATATTAAGCTTAGCATGTGTAATAGCGTCGACCTCTTTGGCCGGCAATACTTTCCCGCTATCACCTAATTATTTAAGGGAGAGGTAAGGGAGGCGGTATATCGCTCCCAGCAAGGTAGCAGAAGAAAGAAGATCGCAATAATAACTATTCTCACCTTTTATCAACGAAATATATTTATTATAAAATCGCTACCTCGAGCGATGACGAACATGTGACAGGGTTATAGAGATGTTCGCTAGCCCTGTGTGCTTCACTCTCCTCGCGTGAACGCAGCGACCAAGTGTATGCTATATAGCCACTACATACTTGTGTCTTGCAGGATATGGAGAGAGGAGCGCGCGACGATCGGCGAGGTGTCGCCGTGAGTGCGAGTGAGAACGAGAAGAGCGAGAGAGAGAGAGAGAGAGAGCGATTTTGACTGATTTTTGACGGCGAGAGAAGTGGGAGCGCGGCGGCACGAGGCAGAGAAATTAAGAGAGAGGAAGGGCAGTTAGGCGCGAGCTCTCGAGTAATTAGGGCCGCCTAGGAGAAGACTGGACGAAACGAGATTTTGGCCAGAGAGAAACGACTGCCATCGGTGCGACTGCCACGTTTGCCGGGAGGCCAGTTGTCCAAAGCAGAGCCAGTACACGCAGCAACCATTCGTCGTCTACGTGGCAAAGGCCGTGCTGCGGCCCTCCCTGCAGCAGCTTCCATCGTCGCCAGGGCACCGTTTCCTGCGAGACTACGCTTTCGCCGGCGTCGCCTCTCTGTCGACGGACCGTCGGTATCCGGTGGGTCCAAAGCCAGTTAATCTCTCTCGCGCCAGCTCTCGCTCGATTACAGACATTAGCGTATTGTGAGAAATTTATCGCGCACGCCGAGCAATCTCGCTCGCGTGATCCCGCGAACTCTGGTCGCGGAAAGGTTGAGCGAGCGCGCTCACCGCGGTGAAGTAAATCTTGTAGCGATATTTGTGAAAAGGCTTCAATAAATGAGATCGCCATATGTAGTATAGGTAAATTAAAGTGTCCGATTATTTGTATCAACCTCCCCAACCAGAGCGAACTTCGGCCTGTGGAAGTCAGCGCAGGCACGATAACATACGTGCGCCAGATGCCTGAGTCATGAGCCCTTGCCGATGTCCGAGAGAGAGAAGGGACGCACGGTGTAGGCCATGACCAGCCTACACCATTACACATGAATGAGGATGAGACTGGTTAATAAGTGATGAAATTATTTATTGAAATTAACTCCGGGTCTCTAGAGTGCAACGGCGACTCTATGTTGCAGGAAGACAGGTCAAGCCGCGCCCGCCGTCGCCTCCGTCCTGCGTTAACGCGTTCTTCATGTTCTCGCTTTTGATCATCAGCCGAGTAGCCAGCCGGCTCGTAACTCCCCAATCCACCAGTTCTTACGAACTAATAGGCGGGATCGAGCCTCTGGAGCCGAAGAGGCTTCCGTGGCAATGGTTCATGCACGTGCCTCTGAGGCGCCACTCGAGGCACTTCAGGACTCATGAAATCTCCTTTGTCGAGGATCTCCAACACTCTGTTGGTACCCGTGGAACACAATACCGTACTTTCGCGACCGACGCCTTGTCCTCGCGAATCCGCGCGCGTCCTAGTGACTCTCCCGAAATCTGGCTTTGGAGAGCGACCAATCGAGATACGTCGCCGATCCGGTGACGATCCTAAACAGGTACTCGTATCAACCAGGGGCTGATACAGACCCTCCACGGCGGAAACCACGCGCGATCTCTCCGCTACCTCACGTGTTGCGAGAGACGTCAGGCGGTAGGACGCACACTTGCGTACAGCCTCTGCCCAGTACCGTACTGGAGCGGCTAAACGCAACGTCGTGGATGAAGCCCTACTTTTTTTAAGGCTCATCAAACCCGACGTTTCAAAGGGGACCGGACCCACCGGTAATGGTGGAGGAGTCAGCACTCCTCGTGACCTGAGATCGGTACGATCGAACGTCTCGTTCGAGGCGCCAGGAATCTGTGGTGGAGCCTCGACCAGAGTAGCCGCCTGCTCTTCTTGTGAAGGAAAAGCGGCGAGCCCCTCGGCCTGGCTCGACCCCTCAGCTTCCGGCGCCATCGGCTGTTGCAACGCGTTGGAAACCCTCATCCCGATCACGGCAGACGTTTGCGCGGAACAGTCGGGCTCAAAGGGTGCGGCGGCTCCCAAATCCGTCGCTCTATTATCCATTGTCGTTACCAACAGCTTAAGAATAAAATAACAGACATCCAAGTTATCACACCAATAGACTACATGTCTCCTTGCCTTCAAGTAATATCCCTTAACCTTTCGAGGTGCAAGGTATCGCGCACCACGATGTTTGCTGTCCATCTGCAAATCGTATACTTCAAGTGATAATACTCTAACGATTTTAAACGGACCGTTATATTTAGGGTCTAGTTTCGTACCTTTGCAGTATTAGAGAGCGTATGAACTTTCCGCCGGACTAAGTCTCCTACTTGGAAAAGTACTTGCTTCCTGCCTTGGTCATATTGCCGTTTCTGTTTTTCCTCAGCTTCCTCAGTATGCTTCGCTACTAGATCTCTAAGTGAATTGAGTCTAATTAAACGGTCCGTCCACGCTTGCGTATCAATTTTTGTAATAGGCATTTTCTTTTCTAACTCTCTCCTAAGACTTTTACCGGCCAAGGATTCCTACCAAAGTTTAAAAACGCCGACGACACTTTCGTTGACGACTGCGTCGCAGTATTTATTGCGTGCCTAACATCGTACAAGTAACGGTCCCAGCTTTTACGGTCTTTGTCAACAAATATTGCGATCATAGTTTTCAGTATCTTATTAACACCCTCAACCGGATCGCTTTGCTGGTAATAGGCAGGACACAGCACCTGCTCGATGCTATGCTCCCGCAACATGCCCTGGAAGACCACACTCTTATATGCTTTCGCATTGTCACTAATTAAATACTCTGGCGTCTCCCATCTACATAAAATTAATTCTTCCAAGGCAGTGGCCAGAGCAGGTCCGTTTGCCGACCTAAGCGGTTTCAATTCTACCCATTTGGTGAATAGATCTTAAAACACGACCATATACCGAAACCTATTCTTGCTACGCGGTAGCTCGGCTACTTCCGTAGCTTTCCGTACTATGGCCTATGGGCGCTCTACTGCACGTTTTCCCATTAAACCGAGCGGCGCCTGTTGTACAGTTTTATACTCCTGGCACTTTTTACACTCGGAAATGAAGGTACTAACGTCGTACCAAACGTCCGACCAGTAGTATTCACGTACTACTCTATCATAAGTCTTTTCCCGACCCAGATGTCCAGAAGAAGACTCGCAATGAGCGTCGCGCAATACACGTTCCCTATGCTCAACCGATACTACCATGCGCCAACACTCTTCTCTGTTTGTAATCGGATCGAGCAAGTGATTCTGCATAAACTTATAGAGCGTGCTACCTCCTATTCTTCAAGTTCTATACTTTTTCGGCCTAGATAATACGTACTGAATCCGTTGCAAATACCATTTATCGCTCGTATCCTCGAACGCGCAAACCTCGCATTCATCCTCAAATTCTCTAGATAGCGCGACTGGCACATGATGTTATGCCCCTTTCCTGTATATTATCTCACAATCATGCTGCTGAAACTCAAGTACCCATTTTTCTAACCGTCCTGTAAGTTCTCTTTTATTCAGAATTTTCGTAAGCGTGCAATGATCAGTAACCACGATAAAGTGTGATCCTTCTATGTACGGTCTAAACTTCTTTACAGCGAATAGAACGGCTAGAAACTCGATCTCACTAACTGTGTAATTACGCTCATGAGTGTTAAGCATTCGACTGGCGTAGCATATACGCCAACCGCAAAAGATGATCCATCGCAATGCAAGTGGAAAGTGAGTGCGAAGTCCGGGCGCGCAAGAACAGGCACCTCAATCAATGCGCGCTTCAACCTTTCAAACGTTATTTGCTGTACTTCACCCCATTCCCACGGTTGATCGTTACGAATTAATTTTGTCAGAGGTACTTTGATATAACTTTCGTGTTCAATAAACCTAGCATACCAACCTGTCATCCT